CTCCCGCAGTGGGACCTGATCCTTCACCTGACACTTTGAGGCCGCGGCCTTGTTTCTCGTTCCAGACGGAGGCCAGAAAGATCGTACGGTTGTTAGTCCAAACGTGACCTCCCGTTCAGGGCCTTTCTCTTACAACCAAGAACCTTATCTTAGCGGAAGAGAACACAGAGCTCAGTGTCCGGTTTCGTCATGTGGAGGCCGCCTCCGGCGTAGGGCAGCCCTTCCTGGAAAGCAAACAGACTCTTGCCCCTTTTTGGTACGATTTGATACGTTTCCCCGTCCTGTCTGTCGGTTCTCACCATCAGAATCCTGCCCCCACCCCAACCAGAGCTGTGGGCTGGACTCGGCCCCACCCAGGCGCCTTGGGAAGGAGACGGGGACCCAGAGAGCAGAGAGCGAGCCGGGCGGGTGGGGGTGGGCCGGCGCGGAGCACCTGCCCTTGGTTCTCCATGGAAAGAGTCGCTCGTTGCCAGCTCACTGTTCCCAGACGTTGACGGTCATAACCCCATCACGGCCCGGCGGTGGCCGGATTTTTTAAGAAAAGAGAGAAAGGAAGCCTCGGGTGGGTGTCCGTGGGTCTGTCGTCTCGTCCCCACGCGGTCGCTCCCCGTCGTGATGCCTGCATTTCTTTGTAAGAGGCCAAACCTTCTAAGGACTTTGCACAGGACGTCACTTCCCATCCAGGACACACCGGTGCGTGTGCGTGTGCGTGTGCGCGTCCATGTTAACCTCTGGGAGATTACGCTGCGATCTGATCGGGGTGCCATCCGCAACACCACCACGCACCAGTGTTGTTAGCCAACCCTCCTCCCACCACCCCCACGCACACCCATGTTTTGCTGCCTGCTTCCTAGGGAGCGAAGTGTACGCCCCGCCCCTTTTGTATTTATTTATTGACTAGGCTGCGGTGTCGTGTAGGGGAGTACGATGTACAGTAACTTAAAGTGTTGACTTGAGACTCGGTCCCTCCCGTCTCTGGCCCTGACATCCCCTGAGGGATGAAAAACAATCCGGCTTCGGCCCCCACGTCCGGCTCGTGCTGAATGACCCACCTGAGGCTGTAGAATCAGGAGGCCTGGCCGCGCATCCGCTCAGAGATGCTGTCTTGCGAGAAGGGTTTTCCTGTGTTTTGCAGATGCATCATGCAATGAAGTCTGCATGTGTCTGATAAACCTTCATCACAAGCGAATCTATACACTGATACAAGCGTATCAAGCATAAGGAGAGTATTACCCTAATTTCATAAGAGAAAATTGTGCTATACTCGTGAAGGCTCTTGTTTCTAACCTGCTTCTGTGATTAAGTTTTAGTAAATTCGTTGCTGCCCTGCTTCCTCTCCCCTCCCCGACCCCGTGTGCCCCCTGCACATTGCCTCTGTATGGGACATACTGATTTTTTAACATAGATCTAATTTCAGAAATGAATGGCTACTTTACCTGATTAATTAGCTATATATATATGTATTTGATTCTACCTGCAAAAGGAAGCTTTGGGGGATTATATTTGGGAAGAGACTGTCTCTTAGCTTCTTAGCACCAGCTTCTGTGCGGTGCTGTGTCCCTCTTCCTCCCGGGGAAGCGGGGATGTCGAACTCCAGTGCGAGCAGAGGTGGTGTGATCACAGCCCCCCCACCCCCAGTCCTTTCAGCCGCGTTGCTGTGTGTGACTCGGGGAGGCGGGTGGAGGGGGGGGGAGGGTGCCCCTGCCGATCCATGTGCGTGGCCACACCAGACGCCTCGTGCCCTGGAGAGACCGCACGCCTGCTCCTCACGTGCAGACTCCCCGAGACAGACAGTCTTTGGAGCTCCCAGCGGACCCCTTCAGAGGCTGCAGGGGCCCCCCAGCTGCCCTGGAACCAGCCGGGAGCCCTCCGTGGGGGGCAGCATCCCAGGCCAGGCCCTCAAGAAGCTGGCTTCTGGGCAGAAAGAACGTCCCGAATGGAAGCCACCTCGTCCTGCCAGGGTCCTCGTCTCTCCTGGTTCCCAGGAGCAGCTCCAGGCTGAGTGCCTGATGTTGGTGGGACACACGCCCACTGAGGGGCTTTGAGCGGGGGAGGGGGGGGCGTCTGTCCTGGGAAGGAAGGGAGGGGGGTGGGGAGCCGGTCAGCCCCGGAAAGGGCAACTCCTCAGCCGCCTCGGATGGGCTGTGGACTTCAGAGCGGCGGTCCTGCTGGTCAGCGCACGTGTGGGGGTCGCGTCCTCGCCAGGCCCGCCTCCGTTTGGTCTGGTAGAAAAGGGACCAGTTTATAGAAAGAGCCTAAGAAACAAAAGAGCCCATCCTCATGCCCAGAACGGAGCCACAACAGACGGTGCCCCGCCGAGCTGAGGGGAGGAAGGCCCCGGAGAGGCCCTCGGGCTGGGCGTCGCTTGTCCTGAGCCCTGAGCCCACGCTGCCCGCCTGGGCTCAGCCCGCCTGTGCTCAGCCCGCATGGGCTCCGGCTTTCCGGAAGCAGCGACTCATTTCCAATCACTCAGATTTCCCCAAGAAACACACTCACCTCCCAGCTGCTGGCCTGCTTTCCGAGCCTGTGACGTTTCCAAAGAAAAGGCCCCGTCTGCGGACCGGCACTCCGCCCGCCCGAGGGACAGCAGGCTTGGGGACGGGCAGGGAGGCTGCCCACGACCCAGCCTGCTCGGTGCGATGCTGTGTCCTGGATCCCGATAGAGACTCCTGCTTGGAAGGTTCCGGCAGCCCAGTCACTGCGGGAAGATAAGGCACGTGGAGACCATCCCAAAGCTGCCAGCCGCAGCGCCTATGAGATTCCATGGCGCCATCCTGCTCGCAGGCATCGTGCGAATAAAGGCCCAGCAGCCCGGTGGGGGCTGGAAGGAGGAGGACCTTACAGGTGATGGGGGGGCCCTAGGAGGTTCCAGCCCGAATCGCCAGAGCCCCCGGCCGGCCGAAGCTAGCAGAATCTGAGCCTCCACCAGACGCAGCGGCCGTGCCTCCGAAAGGCCGGCACAAGGCCCTGCGGTAGTTTCTCTTGGACGGCGGCTGAGCCGGGCTGGATCTCCCCCTGCGGCTGCCGACCGGCGGGCTGCAGCCCCTTCTCTCGGCATCTCAGCGAAAGCCACCAGGTTTGAATGGAAGGCTCTGGAGCACGGCCGTCGGAGTCACGGGAAGTTCACTCAAGGCAAGAACTGACTCCAGAGGTTGATAAATGACTGCTCGTCAACACGTCGAGTCCTCTCCTATCCCCCTGACCAGGCACAAGTTCGTGCAGTACCGCTGCCTGTCTTTCTCATGAGGTCTTCTTATGGGGATTCGGTGGAAAATCAGAAGGTTGGGAGCTCTCTGGGAACGGCCCGAGACTCTGCAAGGCCAGGATGAATGTAGCCGGCACGTGACCCCTGAGCTCGGCTCCAGCAGAGCGTGGGACCTGCTGGGGGTGAGGGTGCAGACCCAAGGGGGCCTCCTGCTGGTGATCTGAGAGGTGAGAGGTCAGCGGAGGCGGAGACGGAGGAGGGTGAGGCGTTGGGAGAAGAGCGGGGTTGGTGCGTCTGGAAGGAGGCTTGCCGACGGAGGCGAAGGAGAGGGCCCCGGGGAGGGAAGCTGTTCCGTTTCCAGGGCTTCCATCAAGGTCGTTGGTGCCGATGAAACACCGCCGGCTGGTCCTTGAGAGCGAGTCCGTTGCCAGGGACGTAGCCTCGGCCTCGCAAAGCAGCTCCCAAATGCCAGCAGCATCCTCACCAGCTGCCAGAGCCCCGCCCCGGCCTGCGTGGAAGCAGCTGAGCCCCAACCACCCACCCGCCCTGGAAGCCAGCGGGTCCCACCATCGCCAAGCACAGGGCAGCCGGCAGCCGGGGTGGGTGGGGAAGTCACCAAAACTAACCCTGGTCCCCGCCTGATTCCACTTTGCAAGGGAAACTCGAGGGTTTTTGTTTTTAGGGGTTTTTGCTGGGATTTGTTTTCTCTGCTGAAGAGAGAAGAAAGCGGGAGTCCTACGTTTTCAGAAGCCTCAGGAAGTCACCACCCTCTGACAGTCATTGTCTCATTGGGTCTTATGGAGTCACCTGTTTCTCGTGTGTGCCGTTCACACCAAATAATCGCGATCTCTAAACCGGTGGGCGCTGACATCATCCTCCCAGGCACCGCCAGGGCTGCGGGAGCAGCGACGGCTGACAGGTTGCGGAGGAGAGGGACGGGTGGAGGGCCTGCGCCCCGGCCTGACTGAGTGCTGGGAAGTATTTCACACATATGCTCCTCGAGTTGCCCGGGTTACATTTTGTTACATACAGCCGACCGTCAACACGTCCGTCCTTTCCCGTCTGGGGATCTGTCTATTCCTGCTGTGAGGAGATGCAGAACATCGGGGAAGGTGCCCTGAGGTAGGCAGGGATGAAGGCCGTCGTCATGGTGACCTCGGTTCCGTTAATTCTGTGATGTCCTGAACTCTGGGAGGGTTCCCTGTGCCTCTGTCCATGAGCAAGTGTCCGTCAGTAACCCCAGAGGTGGGACTCGGTCATCAAACAGCCTTACGATGCCCCTACACTAAGGCCCACGGGTCCCAAAGACCTTTTTCTAAACCTTAAGGGAGAAATTAACTCCAGGAGAACAACTGGGTATACTGGGCTCTTTGTACTTTTTTATAGAGAACTTTAATAACTCCGGCCTTCTTTTAAAATGAGTTTTTAAAATAAAACCCCTGACAATTTGATAAGATTCCCATCACGCGCTCCCTGTAGGAGGGCTCAGCGGCGGTCAGCTGGGGCGGCCCCGACCTGCACTCCCTCTGCGGGTTTCCCGTGATGGTGGGGGGAAGTTCAGGTGGAGCATTTGGCCGACTGACACCCTCCGTATTTTTAGTAGACACGAGGGACAGCTGTCTAAGATCTAGGAACTCATAGGCCCTGGAAAGATGGCTTTATTGTCCCTCTTCCAGATGCAGCCCTAGGGTAG